ACACCTAGAAAGACTGAATTTCAAGACCAAGGAAAGCTCGTTATCTAATGATAAATATTTTATATATCATGGATTTTCAATTTTCGAAATGTAGAACCCCCGAAGTTGTTCTAGGACTGAAATGCTCGAACGTCGACAGGTTTACCTTGTTGCACTTGACGCATCGGGTGGCGAACTTGTCCTCGTAGCACGCGGCGCAATAAATCTCCTGCTCCCGCGGAATGAAGCTCTTCGTACCGATCGGATTCTTGCAGACCACGCAGCAGAAGCACTTCTCGTGCCACTGTCTGGTCTTGTACTCCATCTTCTTCGTACCTGAAACCGTGAACGACGCCCCAGTGAAATTCTACACTTTTCACAAACTTGGCCCGAGAAACGAGATCGAGAACGATTTCACGTTTCCGTGGAATAACAATCACTCGGCAACGCCTTCGAAGGGGGTGAAATATCTTAGCAACTTAGTCTGGACGATCGGCTCGCGACGGTGGAAACTTCGCAGCATCGAATGGACTTCGCGAATGGTTTAAACGATCGCGTGTGCAGCGGCATGCAGAGGCTCGCGTGCCTCGCGTTTTCTCAATTGCTGATTCTCAGGGGATGAATTTTCCGGCAGCTGTCGTATCGCCGATACGGAAGCCTTTCTTGAGCGGTGATGAGGGGGGTTGAAGGCAATTTGAAGCCTCGAGAAACGTCGATTCGAAGCCTCGTTTCGAATTTCATCTTCCATTTCCATAGACGAGACTTCTCTCGCCGACTTTCGTGACGATTGCTCGCCTGTTTGCGCGGCAAGTTGTACAGGCTAGAAAGTTCAGGTCGGTGACAGGTGCAAAAAGTCGCGCGAAGCCGGCAGGAGAGACAAGGGACGTGTAGATAGGTGTCATCTCCCGCAATGCGGTTTCGAAGTTTCGTTCGCGGGACTTTCTAGTCAGCGGCTGTTAAAACAACCTACATAGGACGACCGCCTGTACTTATTTCGCCGTTCTGCTCAGTTGCAGTAGTTTCTATCGACGAACAGAAACTCGTCGTACTACCCTTCTCGGACACCTCGATTACTTTTTACCTGCTAACCTGTTCTTCGAGTCATTCAAAGTCGATCATTCAAAAGTGGTTTCACGTTGTTGAGAAATGTTTCAGTTTATAGAAATATAATAATCGCTAATAGACTAACGAAGTAATACTAATACAGTTTTCAAAATGTTTCAAAACGTTAACGCCACGGAAAATCATTTGAATCTCTAAAAATGTCCGAGAAAAATTAGAAACTGAGTCATTTTGACTTGAACTTTTAGTTTCAGTGTTACAACATTTCCGTTCGCCGATGTAAAAACTCGAGGATCGCAGCAGAGTTAAATTCGCAAGATGGCAAATCGTTTTCTCGCGGAAATCCTCGTATTCTTTCGTGTTTAAATTTATTCAAAGTGGCACTTCCCTTCGACACGTGTCGAAGAATGAAAATAGAGGTTCCGCTCGGGCACGATCGATCGTAATTCCACGATTGACGAAATTGCCAGGTTGCGAGCAATTTCATCGTTGGCCATTCCCTCTATATCCATAAATCGTCAAATCTCACGCGATCTTCGGTCTTTCGTTTTCGAACGACGGATCGCGCGATCTTCGAGTCGTTTCCTTTCTCGCGTTCTTAAGGAACATAATCGGAATCGATTTACTGTGAGTGGCCGTGATACCAGCGAATCAAGCGTTGTTTGTTAATCATGGTACTTAAACGTGGCACTGGGTCGAGCCTTTGGTAACGTCGCGGAACGTCTTCCCCGTGGGCGTTCCGACATTTCTCTCGCTCGTTAATTAACTCCTTCTCGTTTCCTCGCGACGCGCCAAGGCCAAAACCGAGTTAACCGACAACGTTATTCCAAAAGGTGATCTAATAGAAGTTAGATGAGATCCGAGCGACCGGTTAAATAGCGCCATTTGCGGTCCACGATGCTCCGTGAATCATCGATTTCTTTCGACGCCTATTTATGTTTATTTTCCTTCGCTGTTCAATCGAGCGTTCAATTTTTGCGAAATCGTGGTAATAAAGAATCACTCGTATACTTCAAGCAAATTGATAGAAGAATCACTTGTCTGTTTTAAGGAAATTAAACTGCGAAAGGAGATATAAAAAGAAAATTGATACTCGTGTCCTTTGAGGATCATGCGTAATATTTCATCTCTTCTAAAAATTTATCAATGTTTGATGAATAATTTGCCTGTCAATGGATTGACCTTGTCTTGCCAAACTTTTGCGCAATAATTCCGAGCTGACGAAGGTGAAAATATGGGCCGCGAAATGTGGAGATGATCGGCCGGTAATATTCTTCGAGCTATCTGTTGCCAGATGTAGAGAAAAGA